GTAAATGCATCCCTCTGTAAATGCACGCTACAGCTCATTCCCGAGGGCGTGCATTTATAGAGGGTTGACTGTAATAAAAAAATTGGATGTTTTTTGCTCAATTATCCTACCCAAGAGCCATGCCTATTACTATAGCAAGAACAACAATGATCATTGAATTCCATTGGTACGTCCTTAAATATAATTACAAATATTATTATAGATCATTATAACAGGACGCCTGATTCCAGACATGTTAAACAATTGGCAATTATACAAAAATAATTGATCATATCCATCCTGGTGGAAAAAAGCCTTGAAAAGAATACTGAACACCTAGAAAGCTATCATGTCTGGATCGATATCATCCAGCGCTGCTCATATTCAAAGTCAAATATCCCACTGAGGGATACAACACATATGCTCACCTCCTTCAGCAATATATTCTGTCGCTAGACACGCACCAACACTGGTCAAAAAAGCGGAAAACAATAAGGGGATGGATGCAAGATTTCTTCAAGGCTGGGACCTGCCAACATCAGGTGCAAACCACCTGCCTCCTGGAAATCCAAAAAAGACTAGTCAATGAAGTGATGAGGCCAGGTGATGATGAAGAGGATGGCAAGTTCGAAATCATCTATAGCAATAATTAAATTGCTTCGAAGAAAGGGGTGCCAGAAAGAAATGAGCGGGACGGCATAAGAAAAAAAAAGATGATATATATAGGAAAATCGTTCTGGAAGGCTGATAAAAATCAGATTTGATATTGCGTAATCGAGACTGATTAAAAATCGAGTAGTAGCCTGATTAAAAATCAGGATGTATAAGTTGTATATATGTTGTATGTAAATCGTGTTACTATGTAAATCCCGCATTTACATATGTAAATCATGCAACGCCATTTACATATGTAAATCGTGTTAAAGGTCACCAAAATTTCTTACTAAGGTCCCCAAAATAAAACTTGAGTTTTAAAGTGTTCAAACGCTGTCAGTAAGGGACAAGTCGTATTTGCTATCGTTACCAAACGTTGCCCTTTCTCTATATTTAAT